AAGAAGAAGAAGAAGAAGAAGAAGAAGAAGAAGAAGAAGAAGAAGAAGAAGAACAACAACAACAACAACAACAACAACAACAAAAGCGACATCAAGAACAATATAAAATTAGATAACAAAAAGGAACAGACTTCTATAAATAAACGCTTTACATTTACTACCAGAACCTGTTTTGGAAACGTAATAATAAGTGACCCCAATAATTCCTTTTAGACACCAATAATAGAAATGTTGTGGGATGTTAAGAATCAAAGAGACGCCAATCTATGATGTAATCCACCCCTCTTTCCCCCTAGCGCTCTTTCAAAGCCTCTTCACCTGTCGTCCAGCTATCTTCTGTTGAGTCAGCGAACGTATAATAAAAGTTTTATTCGAAGAGCAGCGAAGATAAACAAATCAATACTCGGCGTACATCATTCTAAATAATATATATATCTCTATTGCCATCATTATCCTCACGATCTATTCTCAACATCAGCTGCCAGGAAGATATCACAAGAGGCGACCTTTTAAAGCTGATAGAAATCGCCTCTTTTTTGTAAGATTTATGTGCTGCATAAATCTATTATCTGCAGCACGCAAGAGTACGAAATGCTAATTCCCATTCCTCTATGGAGTATTATTGTCCCTTGGGTGCTAAAAATGCCACATTCTGAGAAGTAGAAAAATATTATCGTTACGTCAAAATGACAATTTTCATTGCGTAAGATGATAAGATCCCGTTGGAAGCTGAAAGTTTCTTTTCCGTGTATCCTGAGAAGGTTAATAAGGAGTGCAGACAATGATGTTCGTTTCCAAATGGAAAGAGTTGATTGACTCTCACCTTGAGACGTAAAATTGGCAACGAGGCGATAATGGAGTTTGGCAGGCAGTTCTCAGCAGGAGTTTGGCTCCAGGAAGGTGGATATTTCCAAAAGGATTGATCGTTATTACTCCTCGAGATGTTTTACACTCTCATCAACACAATGTGAGTATTTTCGGAACCGTCTGCTTATCACCGCACATCGAGATTCGTTCTTGAATTATTGCAGGAAAGGTTCAATAAACGCGATAAAAGCCGAAGTCTAGGCTACCAGTCTAGTAATCGTGAGGTTGTCGGTGGCCTACTGGTTAGGCTACCGAACTCGAAATCGTGAGATCCAGGGTTTAGGAGTTCGAGCCTCAGCTCGGTCCGACGTTGTGTCCTTGGGAAAGACACTTTACATGAATTCCCCTTTGTCTCGGTTCTTTCGGAGATGGATGTTAAACTTGGAGGTCCAACCTCTTAAATAATCTAATAGAGTTGATAAATGTTAAATACCCATACTATTTCGCCTTTTTTCTTTAATAAGAACAGAATTTTTGGAAATGTAGAAATGGATGGTCACCGTAATTATTCCCTCAACCTGAACTCCCTCCATTATCTCCTATGTTTCTTTGTTTTTTGTTGGACATACGGGGCTACAGAAACAACCTACACATGATAGGAACGTTAAGGACCAATGATAAACAAGAGGTACACAGAATGGAAATGGATTGGAGACACCCTAAAGAGACCCCCGACAAGCATCATCAGGCAGGCTTTAACGTGGAACCCACAAGGAAAACGTAAGAAGGGAAGACCAAAG